TTATTAATAAGCATTAATTAAATAATCCGACAATATTTTGAAAGTCCAAAACCGAAACTAACGGTAAGTCGAACTTCCGATATGTCGAAGTTTTTCGTCAGTCCTATCAGATTCGCGAATTCACTATAGAATAGTTCTGTAATTTTTCAGTCAAAATTTCTCTAAATAATTTGGCTAATTCACACAAGTGTGCTAAAGTTTCATTCGCAATTGCATCACATCATACTTAACCCTTTTGCGCGGACAGTCACGGATACATGGCAGCATGAAACGCTTTTATTTCATGGCTGACAGGCCAGTGTGCCAGAGCGATTTCTTGTTCACCCCCCGCCTTCACATATTTGTGACAGTGTTCTAGAATGTTTTAAAAACTATCATTTTTGGCACTGGATGGCATTTTATGTCCATAGGATGTGAGATAAATGTAGATTTGACCTAATAACTAACTTTTGTGGTAAACACTGGGCAAGTAACGTATTTTGAATAAAATATATTAATGCCTTCAATCTGAAATAAAAGTATAAAAATTGAATAAGTATAATATAATTAATACTCACCATGGTGTAGTAGACAAATAAAATAATAATTTTCTGAGATCTTCTGTTTTTAACCTTTCAGGCCTGGTTCGAGCAGGAAAAGAGAGAATGGGGCATCCTCGTCGATCTCTTCCTCCTAAGACAATAAAAACAAAATCAATATACACACTAAAACAAAGGGAGTTAAATCAATTTAATTTCTCTCAGCAAGAACAAACAATAATTTAGGCATAGAAATATAATAATCAAAAATTGAATTCAGGGGAACTAAAAATCATTGATCGCATTTCTTTAATCATCAGCAAATTACATATGAAAATTAGAACAAATACAAATCCTTTTTCACAAAAATATTTCAATTTCCATATTTGTTGATTTTTGGAAATTCAAGTTTAAAATAAATATATATATATATAAAATATCTTTTTTTTAAAATACTTATGTTTTTACTTTTTAAAAAAAAAATAAAGAAATATAATGTGGGCCTCTTTCATTAACCACATAGACAATTTAAAATTTTTGATTAAATGACAATTCCCCTAAATCAAAGTTCCCCTCTACAATACTAGAGCACAATTAAGCACCATTAATTCTTTTTAGAGAATTTTAGGGTAGAATTAATTCTTTTACAAAGCATTTCAATCATAACTGAAATATTTTTTATAGGGATAGGCATGAAAAATGATTGACATGAACTGTGGTGAATATTTTTTATTTTTTTTTAATTAAGCCCGCCATCGTCTTCTCAGACATTAGGCGTCTTGCAGTCCAATACAACACTGAAGTAGCTCCAGAAGGTGAGAGGGCGCAAAAGTCATCACTGGAACGAATGTCAAGAAGAGAGGGGCAATCAAATAAATGCTCCCCAGTCATAGGCGAAGAGTTACACTGTGGTGAATATGATCGTGAAAAAGTAGGAGTTGGAAAATCCTGACCCAAACTTTATTATAGACTATATATCAATCGCACACCCAAGGAGGATTTTGGGGGTTATAAACCCCTGAAAAAACAAGTGTTGTTAAATAAGGACAATTTTTTTATTTATTACCACAATGTTTTGCATTATGATTTACTTATTTTGCAATCTGATGGATTCTGAAGGATCAAAATTTTTAAAGGAAAGATTTAACATTTTAAAGAAAATTCTGCTTTTTGCAATTTTTCTACAATGGTAAATTTTTATCCTTAAACAACTTTCAAAAAAAAGAAGGAAAAAGTGATTGTTTATTTAATTAATTTAAGTCGGCATTTTTTTAAAAAAAAAAATTTTTGTTGACTCGCCAGGTGGTGCGTGGTTATTTTTAGGTCGATTAACAAGTGATCGATCATGTTCTTTAATCATTTCGACATTCAATCCTTTTTTTCTGTTTTGACAATTATTGTCAAAAACTAAAAATTTTGGTGCAGAAAATCATTATCTATTATCATAAATATTAAATAACTATAGATAACAATAGATATTAAACAATTATAAATAAAAATGTGCAAAATTGAAATGTATCCAATCAGTTAATTTTTCCATTGTTGAAAATAAAAATATAAAAACAATAATCTTATAAAAAAAAACACTTAAGAAACATCTTATTTATTAACATCTTAAGAAATATCTTGCAAAATTAGTTTTCTTTTATTCCCATTGGAACTCCTTCCTCCTTTCCCGGAAGTATGTGATTACAAAACATTACTCCAAAACCTTCTGTTCTATAAGTTTATTTTTCAGTTTTAAATTAATAAGATAGAAATTCAAAAATATTCTTTCAACTGATGAACATATAAAAAGAACATGAATTAGCATTTTCTAAGTTTTTAGCTTCAAAATTTATGAGAATGTTTTTCCTATTTGTTCCTCAAATTTACAACAAATATGCAAGATATATATAAAAAACTGAAATCATAAGACTGCTCATAAGACTTAAAAAAATTTTAAAAAAAGAAAAAGGGAAGAAAAAATCAAATAAACCTCAAATAAAATATAGATTTAAAAATAAAATTTTATATTCAATAACATTAAAAATTAAGAAGTTATAAAATTTTGAAACATAAAAATTCCATTCCCATCAGGCAGAGAAGCGTTTCAGTCCCAAAAGATTTTTTTGAAATTTGCTTGGGACATATATGTCCCGTTAGGCGCGAAAGGGTTAAGTCTTGAAAAAAAGTTTTTTTTCATTTAGAATGTGTTTGTTTTAGAAAAAGGATTCTATTTTTTTTATAGATTTGAAAACAGATTCTTGTTTAAAGTTCTTTATAAATAGTTTCTCAATAATGATACATAGGCAAGCCAACCAAAACAAAATATATTACATTAATTTAAAATAAGGTTCTATGTTACACCACTTTTCTAAAAAATCATTCCTATTATAAGTTCTAAATATTATAATAGGAAAAATATTAAAAATGTTTTAATCTAAATATTAAAAAAGACCTACCAGAAACAATTGCTATTTTTTCTTGCAGCAATGGAAGAATATCCATTGCCCTGATATCCTGAGGCTGATGAATTCCTAGGGGAAAAAATTTTAATGAAATTTTCATAAAAACAAGATTCAGTTTAATATATAAATATATTAAAATAATCACATTTTTAGATTAAGCAATACATTTGGTACCTACTGGTTATAGGGATTATTGGTTAGCGCCAGCTTTTCCGAAATTTTGCCAACAAGAATATTGATCCCTATACCCATCAGTACTAATTTCTACATGTACTGTGATATATTATTTAAAAAAATTATATTTAAAAACAACATAATACGATATTTTCCCCATCTAACTCATTTATATTATTTTTACATAGGTCAATATTTTTGTTACCCAAATAAATTAGACCATAATTCACTATGTCATAGCCTGGCCAAATTCCAATCGATCATTGTTATTTATAATAATATCACTATATTTATATGTAATCCAGTGTTTGCGCTAAGTTTTTTTAAAAGGGCCTTTTTTGTAAAACTAAACCACCACCCCCTTAAAACACAGCCTTTTTTATTAATATTCCATTTAAATAAATAAATTCACTGTTTAAATAATAATTACACAGTGGTAAAATTATCTGTGCTTATAGGTGTAATTCTGATTACTGTCCCAAGTATTTATTTTGTTAGGATTATTCTTTTATTTGTTAGGACTGTTAGGATTAATTTTAATAAGTTTCTCTTGTTTTGGATTTATATTAATTTATAAAATTATTTTTAAATAAATACCTTTTTTAAAAGAAAATGCAACTTAAAGTGTTAATTTTCTCATAAATTTTAGTTTAAATTATAGATAAAGCTTTCAAGCTGTTATCTTTTTCTTAATTTTTTTGAGAAAAAATTTTGCACAATGATTGTCGTTTAGTATGCTTTTAATTAAGTATGTAACGAATATACGATCACTATTCGGTATTCGACCCTTTTGCCGAATATTCAGTCGGCCAAATATTTTTTGAAAAGAAACTAAATGACTTTGAACTAAATTTTTTTGGGGGGAAAATTTTAATAGATTTAATAAAGAATTATCTAAAATTGTACTTTTTACTACACATTATTAGGAATAGTTTTCACATATATTTGTTGAGTTCTAAAACTTGTTATTTTATGCTCTGAAAGACACATGGAAAAGCAAAATTTGAAGAATTGAAACTAGATTACCTTATACTGAAACATGCATTTTGTAATGTTGATTTTTTTCTTTTTTAATTATATTCATGCAAGCCAATTTTATTTCTTTCAACACTATATGTTTCAAAAAATTGATAACTTTTTTTTATTGGTTTCATTTTTCCTTGTTTTTCTGTTTTACTAAAGCTTTTTTTAGTAACTTTTCTTCTTATCAGCATTTTTATTACAACAGCATTTTTCAGAGTGTTTCTAATGAACGTTATTCCTTTATGGTCACTTTTCTTTAAAAAATACGGCAATCTAAAGCTATTTGTTTAACGTTAAATCTTTCGTTAAAAACTAGAACAGATTTTTGTTTTGGTTTCTATCTACGGCGCGACAATTAAAAAGGATTTCTATTCGACTATAATCTACACTTTTTCTTGAAAAATGTTAATTGGAAAATTGAAATGCTTAGTTTCAAAATTTTCTTTCAAAAATTACTATCGTTTTTTTTTTTTAAATTTATTTTTGAGTCTAATCTTTGTTTTTTTTTTATAAGCGTTTTTATAATAGTGGTGCATTTTTAAAAGCATTTCTGTTAGACATTATCTCTTTTAATGTTTTATTGATAATTTTTTTCCGGAAAATACTATTTTTAGCATTAAAGTTTTGTTTAGAGAACTAAGAAAATATTTTTTGTTCTATTTCTTTTCAACTTTAGTTCTTTTTTCTTTTTTTTAATAGCTGTTAGCCAGTTTTTTTTATTTTAAATATTTCTAATTATCTTAAATATTTCTAATTATCTTAACATCTAATTGTCTTAAACATTTCTATTAATGTTTTTTCCTTTTTAGGTGCTCACTTTATTAAGTTTTTATTTAGATTAAGTTTTAAATAAAATTACCGAAAAAGGAATTTGCATTTGTATTGCAATATCAATATATGAATCTCTATAGTAAGTAATGAGGTGGAGGGTAAAACTCTGCATTTACCAGTCAGTAGGGAAGTGCTTTATCTTTCTCAGCTAAAGTGAACACCGACTATTCTTTTACCTGGTACCAATAACACAGCGGAATTTTTATTACTTTTTAATAATGACTGAATGATTTTCATTTTGCAAAAAAAATAATTTTATTAGTGTTTTTTTTTATTTTTTTATTAACAGAAATGTTGCTATTCAGCCGCGAATATTCGGTATCTGGCTGATATTTTTGGCCGAATATTCGGTATTAGGCTAAATCACTATTTGTTACATCCCTACTTTCAATTATTTTTTATAAACTACACAATTTTCTCTTATTTTGATAATGAGTGATAAGTACTTTTCTGAAATACACACATAAAATAGTATAAGAGGGTATTTTAGAAATTGTTGAAGATCAAATTCAGTTATGGCATAATATTACATGTTTCGACGATATTTCACGGTACTAAATTAGTGCCTTTTACTGTGAGGTAGCACCCTGCCTTTATTCCCAGGAAGAACTCAATGTAAGGTAGATAAATATACAATTTAAGAAAGTTGCTATGATAGATAATTACAATAGTGTCAATAAAAAAAATATATAAAAATTAATAGAATAATGTTAGTTTATATTATTATTTAAAATAATATGAATGTCTAAACAAAAAAAATTTCCATTTTAAACTGTTAGCTGTGTTAGAATACAAAAATAAGGCGTTAGTATGCATAAATATAATACAAAAGACTGGTAACACATCAATTAGAAGTGTAGCAGAGCTGAATTTACAAAATAGTTCATCAAAATCATTTTCCATTATATTGTTTCATAGGATCTTTAAAAGATTATTTAGCTAATAAACAACATATTATAGATACATTCAGAAAAAAAATTTAATAATTACTATTCTTTTTCTTTTCTTAAAAAAAAATTTCCATATACAATTTACATTTTGTTAATTTCAAAAAATGGCTGACCTGTCTTGGGATTTCTGAACTTTTTATGAAATTAGAATTTGCAATCAGGAGGTCTCTCTGAGAGGTACAGTGCCCGCCGCTAATAAAATCATCGGATAATAAAATCAGCCGCTTTATAAAATAAAATCAGCAAGAACCGAATCGTTACAATATTAATACATGTTAAAAACATCCTTTAGTAAAATCAATGCCGTCGCTTTTTAAAATCAAAATTTTGAATACACAATAAAGCAAAGGTGCAATATTTCAGATTTTTTGTTCTTATTTATAAAATTTTATTTTTTCGAAGTTTAAAGATGTTTTTAGAAGAAGCAACAGTTACTCACAAACCTGTGAAACAGATGTGGTTAGCACTTTCCTGCGATACACATAGTGTAAGAGTTAAGGAAAAATGTGGGTGGTAAGCGGCGAGTTCATAGAAATCAATTTATCAATGTTAATTCCTTGACTTGATTGAAGCTTGGAGAAACCTATCTCACTCAACAGGGGGTCGAATTCTTATCTTACTTTTTATTGAATGAACCATAGAAGGGAGAGAAGTTTCTTTTGTTACCTATCTTAACAGAGAACATGAATAGATTTCCAAAAACTGTCTGTGCACATGTTCCATATTATTTAAGCCGTTTGAGTAAATTATAGTTAGAGCACACAGTGTTTTCATCATAGAAAAAAAATGGGTGAGAATTTCTCACCCTTTTTCAAAAACAGGGTGAGATTTCAAAAAGTTAAGTGAGATTTCTAAAAACTAAAAAAACACAAAAAAATCATTTCTTTAATTATAATACATTTTTAACGTCTTCTATTTTTAAAAGCATTGAATATTTTTGATGCATCATCATAGAAGAATTTGCCTTTACAAGGTATTTGTCCATCTTACATTAGCACATAAAAAATATGAATGTCTTACATGAAGAAACCTTACCTACGGTAAACACGTGGTTACAGAGAAATGCGTTCTGAAAGGGGTTCCATGGTTGTGTTCTGTTGTTCGAAAAGGTTCTGAACAATACTGGTAAATAGAGAAGCTAGAAAACGGGGCAGATCTTGAAAATAATGAAAGATCCAGGAAGAAAAGTGAAACGGATTTTATTCTAAATGGCATAATTCGAAGCTTTTTCCAAAGTGTGAGAAATTCGCGAATTTTGAAATATATTTAAAGAATGCACGAATTTCTCGCGGTAATCATTTTTAAATGCGAAAAAAGAAAAAATATGCGAGATTCTCGCGCTGTGGTTAAAACACTGGCACACATCATTTTTAAGTTCGTTTGGTGTTAAATTTTATCAGCATGCCATAAAGGAAGGATTTTTGTCTTAAAGATAAATTCGAAGTGCTGGCAAAACTATGATAAGCTTCCTAAATGCAGTCAACGTGAAGCTTCAATGGAGATGGAGATGACTGTTTCGAAGAAATGATCAGCAATGAAGAAAATGAAATGGACGAGAATTTTTCACGTTACGTAGCTATTGACGATATACTGCAAACATCAAAAGAAAAATCTGATTCTAAAGTTGTTACAGACATCAAAAATTGCAAAGTTATTTCCCCATCAAGAAATGGAGGAATCCTACTCAGAAGATGAAATAAACTCATCAGTGCCATCTTCAATGGAAGTCAGAAAAGCACTTAATGTATTGCGTCAAGCTTTAGAACAAAGAGGAGGAATATCGAAAACTATAAAAATTTCTATAAACTCTCAAATGATGATGAAAAGTTAATTTTAAATACTGCAACTCAAGCAACCATTGATCGGTTTTTTGCAAAACTTTTGTAAATTTAATCTTTTGTAGGGTTTTACTTTATTAAAATAATTAATTTAGTTAAAATAAAGCATTAATGTGGTCATTATTTCAGCTTTTAAAGTGTGTGCATTTAGAATATATCATAAGAAATTTTTTTTTTCAAATGTTGAATCGCCTCTTAATAACTACAACGAGATACAAAAATAAAATTTTAAGAAAAAGTATTTTGTGAAACTATTGTTTTTCCTAATGTTGAATTTGTGAAGGTACTGCTAAACGGTAGTAAATTTGGCCTAAACAGACCCCTGGCAATAATATGCAACTCTAAAAAATTTATAAAAAGTTGCATCACAAAAGAATTTAAAATAAACTTGCTAAAGACGAATACTAATTTTAAAAACTTGAACTTCCTTTTCAATCTAACTATAAAAAGAGGACAAATCGCTGGTTTAAAACTAAAACGACACTTCTCATGTTATTTGAATGAGAAGTGAGTGCAGAAGTGTCGTTTTAGTTTTGAACCAGCGAAATGTTTTTACGTTTTTCTAAAAATTAGGAGCGCACATCGTGTCGGCGTGTCTATTTTAAAAAATTGAGATTATTTCCTAAGTCAACATATAATAAGAGCAATATAAACATGAAGTTATTGTATTCATCAATGTTTTTGTTTAATTTAAAATAAGTTACTGCATGAAGTGATTAACTTTTTTTAAAAAGGCTATAAAAATAAAAAAGAACCATCTAGACTGATATTTGTTACAACTTTTCCTTTTAAAAAATCGTGAGAAGAATTTCGTGTCTACTACAGTCAGTAATTCATATAACCCTTCAATTTTTTCACTAACCAATCTTTAGTCACTGGAGTCAATAAATCTACATACAAAAATTTTTGAAATAAAATAATCAAAATAGTAAGTTAAAAAATAATAAGCTAAGGATTATATATGATAATTTGTAAGATTTCACTTTTAATCATATCAATAGATCTTTTTAAGTATCTCAATGTTTACAATACCATTGCTAAGAGCTACTCCCTTTCATACTTTTTTTTAAACCTAATAATAAACAATACATGATAGATAAAACTTGTTTTAGACTTACCACTCTTAATAAATGAGCAATCATTTTCGGAAGACATCGTGAATACAGATCAAAATTCAAAAAAATTTTTATTTTCAAAAATTTCTTATACACTACATTATGCCAGAGTTCGATAAAATATCTGGCAAGCTAATAAATCGATTGCCGTTGCTATAAAAAAAGAAATCGTAGATCATTTTACAAAAGGAATGGTTTATTTCCATAGTATTGTAAAAATATTAGGTTTAATTACAAAAGCTTAGAAATACAAATATATTATTATACATTTCGTTTGTCAACCATCAACAAACTTCACTGACCGTCATGCAATGCAACACTACTGCTCTCTAGCAGAAAGAGAGTTGATTCAAAAACCAATAAAAACAAATGTCTGGATGGAAACTTAGGATAAGAATAAACTCGGCCAATGACCCCTTGCGATTTAATAAATGAAATTTCTTATAATGTTTGAATAATTATTAAAATTAAACAACAATGTTTTCATTCAACTCTCCAGCCGACTGTTTTTTATCTTTATCTTCAAGCATTAACTTGAAAGATTCTACAGTAGTATTTTGCTCACTTTTTTTGTAAGAAATATTAGCTATATTTTCGGTTATTTTAATTAAATTACCTTCGCAATGTCGAATTATAAAACAAACAAAAACGAATTAGGATATATTTTAGTTTTGTTTTTAATATCGATTTGAGATAATAATCGTTTCTCCGTTCCACTCAACCAATCAGAAAATTCTGTATTTTAATTTTGCCGTCTACACTTTTGACACAACTTGATACAACACCGCAGTGCGGGTTTATTTACAATCATGTGCTAAGTTTATTTGAGATTTCACACTGAGGGAAGCAATCGTATCATACAAAATTTAATTCATTTTTAGACCTTAAATAAAAACTTTAAGGCATTCACCGTTCTACATCATGTCTAATCAACAACCTTTAGTAAGTTAAAATTTTTACTTAATATCGTACTTTTTTCGACTATGCACTTCCATTCTATAAATTATTTTCCTTTTGATTCAATCTCGCCATATAAAAATTGTCAATATTTTGTATTCAATAGCCTACAGCAATTTAATTATGTAACAATAATCCAAGATCTCGTATTTTAAATTTCTGGTAAATAATTGACTTATTTGTTTTCGATCATGACATTTAAATAATTCAAATATATTTTGAAAGACCTGATAAACATTTTAGGATGTTTTTCAATTTTCGAAATTATATATTATGGCAAAACCTGTGTCCCGAATTGTCTAGACCTTTGCAAGTCCGGAAAATAGAATTTTTCGACTTGTTTGATCAAAACATACATTATTCAATTTTAAAAATAAGTAAATAAACCATAGATGACGTTTAATTTTTATGTATGAACGTTTTGTCAATAGGTAATATACATTAAATAAACTAAAAAATGTTTAATAGCATTAAATAAATGTCACTAATAAAATGTATAACAATATTAATGATGTAATAGCACACAATAAGTTAAACTTTCTCTTACCTCAAGAAAGACTTTTTTTTTTGTTTCCTATTTTGCTTTTTTTCATTTGATGTGAAGAATTAGCTGCACAGATATTCAGATAAAAATAACGCTAGAAAGCAAACTTGAATTGGAAAAAGGTAATAAATTCTGTTTAACAAAAAATATATAAATACTATTAAACAAGGAACAGAATTGAGAAAGTTCTTTACATTTATAATCTAAACAAATTAAATGTCTGTCTGTTGGTAATTCTTTCATGCATTATTAATAATCAGTTTCATTAATATTCATTGTTTATTATTCTTTCTGAAGTCTCTTTTTTTTTTAACTGCTCATCTTTACAACAACTCTTCAATTAAGTGAAAACAAACAGGCAACAATATTCTTTAAAGCTTAGCATCCATGGAATTCCAAAAAGCATTTATACATTGCTCTTTATAATGGAAAGGGCATCGCGATATAGAATTATTATTCACAATTATATATATATATTAACTTAATTATTTTTAGGTTCTGAAAGTGGCCAAGTGTCCCACAGAACAATTGTCTGTAACCAATTGTGCAGTAGTAAATGAAAAAGATTTTTCTCTGGATAAAGTAAGGTAAAGGAATTTTATGCATAGTAATTTTATAAAAAAATATATGTTTTCAGGAACATTTTAGTGGATTTATGTATTATCTTGTATAAGTAAGGAAAAAAATCATTTTTATATTTGTTTCAATAAAATATTCGAGTTAACAGCAAAACTTTTTTTATGAAACCCAAATTCCGCTTTTGTCATATTGTTACAGATAAGCGATTGGTGTACATTAAGAAAAACATCAGTATAGAGAATACTTGTTGAATAGAACTTAACCTAAAAATAATCTGTGTTGAGTCTACTCGGCAAATTTATTCTAGGCAGTGGCACTTAGCCTTAAAAAAAACATCAGCGTCAGGTATAGGGGCAATGGCATTTAACCTTAAAAAAATATCCGCTCAGAATATGCCAGCCAATGACAGTCACATTCATTAATTTCTCCAATTATTAAAAATAATAAATAAAGTTTACTAAAACTAGCGGTATGCTACACACTAACACTTTCCAAAATCTTTTATAAGGGAGGAGAATTAAATAAAAAAAATTTAAAAAGTACCTCTATCGTAAACGAAAATAAATGCATATATTTTAATATTAAATTAAAATTAAACAATAATGTTAAAAAATTTAATAATTAAGAAACATTACAAAAATTTAATAGTATTTCGGTTGTAGAAAGAGAAACGCTTTATTTCTGAAACCGAAAATAAATTCTGCCTTTGTAGATTTTGTTTGAGACAAAGGTAATGACGTAGTACGTATAGGTAGTAAAGAGGGCAACTAAGTAGAATTATTTCACCAATTTTGAGGAAGTAAACCAACTAAAACCGTCCCATGTTTCCATAAAATTTGTAAGTGTTAATAGAGTGTGTTAAATTTCTTGTGTTTTGAAAAATTCCTTTTAAGTAATTTTTATTTGAACTTTCAAACTAAATAAGGTCATACAGAAATTTTTGGCATGAAAATGTTTTTTTCTTTTTGCGCTACACCTTTTATGAATGTTATATTTACAAGCTATTTCGTTTTTTTTTTACTAGTGCCGCAACTTTTGTTTACTAGTTTTGTTTATTGCACAATGCATAAAAAAATGGACCACCCTTAATAACTTTTGATCTTATAATCGGATTTTCACGTTCTAGGACTGAATCTGATTGGCTTGAGGGAGTGATTTCAAATATGCTAATTAATAAGTGCCGATGATATTTTAAGTTATAAAATCAGACACAAATATGTACTTTTCGACGGATTCAGAGATAGCCGCAATCTGGGACGTATGGTCCCAATAGTTTGGTCAGGAGAGAACTCAAAAATTAGGAACACTTAAAGCAAATAGCATCATCCCTTTAAGCAAATAGCATCATTTTTAGACACATTTATAAAATTTGTTTATCTAAAGATAATTCCATGTTAAAAGTAACTTTTCGTAAATATTTATTATTTTATTTAAGAATAGACAAAAAATTTGGAATTGTAAGGGCATTTTAAATAATTTATTTCTTACCTTATTTTAAATAATTTAATTTTATATGGCAAAATGCAAAATTTGAGCGAAATATTTCAAACAGTTCCTGAGAAATCAAATATTGAAAAAGTCATACTTTTAAAATTTTAATAAAAAAAAATAATTATAAAATAAGACTAATATTCTAAATGCTCAATATATGGTACATCTTTTTAAGCTAAAAGCTTCTAAAATTATGCAAGTAAGAGATTGATATTACTGAATGAGCAAAATTATTTTATAAACATTTTCTCTTTACTTTTACAGTAACAAAGTTTTTTTTTTTTGAGGTTATAGTTTGAAGTATATTATTTCTGATGAAATATTTTTAATTTCAGGCACATTGAAATTACAACAGCTACCAACCGAAAATATGTCTTCACTTTAAGGTCATCACCTGCAATTCCTTCTGGACAATTAGGATTTAGTTTGCCTATGGTGAGTCAACAGTTTTTTAAATTTAAGGAATTCTACAGCTTAATGTAAATTTTCGTTTTAGATGTTATCATTCAGTTTTATTGTTTGTTTGTTTTTTAACTCTCTTTTTTACATCTTTTTTTTAATTTAAAAAAAATAGTTTAAATGCAGCATTTAGAGAAAATCATTTTCCTCGTTTTTAAATATTTAATTCATATACTGAGTATATTTAGAATCAAATGGACAATGTCATATTACGAATTTTTTCTTTTATCTATAATTACTTTTACGTAATTAATGTCTTTAGTAGAATTCTTTACACCAAGGATAGGCTGTATCGGTCCTCGTAAACTGTTCTACTGTAAGGTTCTCCAACTCACATGCTGGCAGCCAGCGTACTAAAACAGAGGAGTCATCCAATTTGCAGGCGATCAAAATCGTGATGGCTTCATGTCTTCAAATCATCCCTTGGGATGTTTTCTTGACTACTCGACTCCTTGATGTATCGATAGTCCATTGTGCAAGATAAATAAAGTGCTACTATTACTAAAAATTTTTACAAAACTTGATTTCCTTACGTAATATTTTCATGTTGCAATAACTTATTTTAATTTGCTGACCAATATCTGTAGTTAACAATTGAATACAAGGTAATCAAGAGAATTTTAATTTTGGGAAAAATTTTATAGCTACTTGTCTAAAAATAAAGAATGTATAAGTATGAAGATACATGTTTTGTAGTTTATATATTAACTCAAAAAAATTGCATTTCTTTATAATTTGCTTTCTTGTTTCATAAATTATGTTATCTAGAAATAAATAAGGACACCCAATTTATTTTTAGAGAAAATGGGCTGAACTATCACTAAATCAAACGCTGGAAGTACGACCATATACATTCAACCCCAACATACAGTATATTGCAAAAATTATTCTAGAAGTTGATTTTTTGGACAAGAAAACGTAAGTTTTTATTTTTAGCCTGACTCCAATATATATTATATAAAACGTTTGTATGCGTTCACAGAACCAACGAAATCTCTTCTCTCATGTTGTCATTATATAAACTGAGCTATAAGTTGGGCAGAAATTAGAAGTTCAAAATGAGCTGTTCATATAAACAACTGTGTTCTACTTTTGTTTCACTTATGTTATTGACTTATGCAGGTGCAGGTTGCATAATAATTAAGAACTGTACTTAAATGAAACTTGGTGATGCTCAATAATTTGTGCAAAATGGGAAGGTATTTAAAAAAAAATAGAAAAAAAAGTCATTAGCTTACAAGTTTTGCTAAGAGTAAATTTTATGTAAATCTTTTGAAAGTAAAATTCATTCGATCTGACTTGACCTGATAGGGTTAGGGAGTTAACGCCAATGCTTTCATTACTATCTAAAATATCTCTTATTCCCAAGTTTACAACTGTGTATTAATAAGAAAATTTTATAATTTTTTTTCCTTCAATTTTTATGCCTTTTACAAGTTTATGTAAGAAATGAATTTCAATCAAATCGTAATATATATAAATGTANAGGGGGGCATAAGAATTTTAGAAAGGCTTGAGTGGGGCACGGCACAAAAAAGGTTGGGAAACACTGATCTAAAATATCTCTTATTCCCAAGTTTACAACTGTGTATTAATAAGAAAATTTTATAATTTTTTTTCCTTCAATTTTTATGCCTTTTACAAGTTTATGTAAGAAATGAATTTCAATCAAATCGTAATATATATAAATGTATGTAAATTTAACAGGTTAACGTATCCTATATTTTTAAACCTGCATTTTAAAAAAAGTGTCATTATTCTTATAATGCTGAACTGAATATATCAGTGAGTTTGTAAAATGAGATCTGAATTGAAAAAGGATCCCAAAAGAATTACATAAGTTCTTCCTAGCATAGGGTGGGCTTTCTTGTCTTACTAGTTTAATTTTTTAAATTATAATAATAAAATTTAATGATTTAATTAAGGTTTTTACAGAATGCTTTTGCTATTTTATTATAGGTAGCTTAAACAACCCTAACTACTTTTTACCTTGCATACACAAGAGCATCATTTAATTTTGTAATTATAAAGTTTATGTAAACTATATTTAAACCATTGTGGTGAGTTTTAATGTATATCAAGCTTATGGTAAAGAAAAAAAAATTCTAATTTTTATGTGCAATATTTTATTACATTTTTTTAGAACCTAAGATTTAACTGAATAAAAATGAAAACTTCAAATAAAGTTTTTGATTCTGAAAAGCATAATTAATCTTTATACTGTACAAGAATATATATATATATAACGTCGTTGCCGAGTGGAAGGATTAAAACAGGTCTTAGGTCGGGAAGGAGGGTACAAAATTTATTTATTAATTATTAGACAACAGCAGTCATGAGAATGAGTAAAAGTGCACATGAAAAGTTGCGCTCCTTGGTTATATGTTAGGGAAAATCTTGCAAAGTAAAATCCGTAAAATGTCTTAATTTAGGGAAAGAGGGAAATCTTAGTAGTTGCTATTGGTTTATGAAATAGATCGAACGTTTCCCACACAAGAGCAAAGGGAAAAATGTCCTGCTCTTAATTAAATGCATAGTTGAGCCAAAAATAGATTTAAGAACAGGATGTGGCTTTTAAAAGTGTGAGAAAGTATTTCAAATAGAATAATTAATTAGGAAGAAGTTTTATAGCAGAGAAACTAACATAAAAAGATTAATTGAAGCTTTTTATGTTACATATATATATATATATATTGATACAAAAAGAAGAAAAACTTTTGTGTGTGTACAGTTTCTCATACTAATTTCTGGGAGTAATCATCAAACTAAATCTGAAAATTTGTTTTAGATTTTCAATGAGACCTCTGATTTAAAGGATTTAAGAAGAGGAAAAAATTTTCATTAATTATTTTTAAAAGTAAATTTTTTAAATTATTTTAATTGATGCAATGTTGAAAAAAAAAAGTTGAACTCGCTTTAAAAGTCAGCAGTAAGTGTCTTTCAGAACATTTATAGCCTTGTTCTTTATAAAATTAAAGTTATATTTGAACATAATCAGAAAAGAAAATCATGTCTGTTTTTATCTTATAGTTTTGTTTTTAAATGAAGCATGTTGCTGAAATCTACATTATCTACATCATAGATTCTCAACCTTTTTAACGTTGCCGCCCCCTTACGGAGCAAAAAACACTTCAACGCCCCCCTTTGTGAAAATCCAGTTATTTAGAGCATGGTGATGGAACGAGGTGTGCTAAATTATAAGATACAACATTAAGCAATTTTTTAAGAGTTAAATTAGTGTGTGTACATTTATCGACACTTTTCTCACGGCAGGTATTCGCAGTCTATTTGTTATAATTAAAATAAATACGGTAATGAAANAAAATAAAAAGGTTTTTGTTACTTTCAATTAATATTATCTTATTTATTTTCAGCACACTTGAGCCTTATGACACTGATTTAATGGCCCAAGAATTTGTGAAATGTTTCAGCAAACAGGCTTTTACAGTTGGGCAATGTGTAAGAAGAAACATTATTTTTTAATCTTTTATTATTAATTGTTTCAATTATTTATTAATAAGTGGATTTTCCAACTTAATGTTAGCATGTGAAACATTTTGTGAAATTGTAGCACTTGCTATTTTTCAGTTGGCTTTTGGATTTATGGATATGAAGATGTTGAAAGTAGTTGTTAAAGAGATGGAAGGTAGGATATTTTTAATTGCCATAAAATATCAAATGCCCTTTTAAAAATGAAGATTTATTTACATTTATAAACTATATCTCATGTCTTTTTAAAACCTTATAACTTTTCCTTTTTATAATTTGTGCTTAAATTTGTGTTATTAAATTTACTTTTTTTTAATAATTTAAAAGAAGTAATTTACTAATAAACCTTAAATCAAATGTGCAATCATCTGACAGCTTTCCCAGGAAAAAATAGCATCAATTTATTATAACTAAAGTCTGCCAACAGGACATGACGTGAGAGGTTAGTCACTTCCCACATTATTAATGTTTGATGAAGGTGCCCAGAAGTATATAAAAATTTCAAGATTAAATTGCTCTCATTAATCATCTAATAGTAGTAATAAGTTAAGGTTCTGGCGTGATCTTAATGATACATACATTTCTAAAACAATGTTAAAGCTCATAACAGAAATTTTCAAAATATTCTTTTGACTAAAAAACCTAAATTTATAGTCAGCATTCAGCAAGTAAGCAGAATTAAGTAGCCATTTTAGGTTTAGGAAAAACAAAAGTATTAAACAAATTAATTGATTTTAAAAATTTTGATTGTAAAATCTATAACACTGTCTCTCAGTCTGACTGTAAACTTCACAATTATAATTATTATTTTAAATGGATATTAAAAAAGTTGAAGATATCTATTCTTGTTATATTTGCTAATTGAATGTTGATCTATGTTAACTCTTTGTAAAATTGTGAATTTATTTAATGTTTTATATTTAATTTATAGTTGCCAATATCGAACAAGTTACTGGAAATGGGAAGCCTGGAGGGAAAAGAATTGTAAGTACCAATATTATTTTCATACACTTAGTATTAGCCCAGTAAGATGCAGTATGTTTTATCTGTGCACTATATTTTTAAAAAAATGAATAAATCAATAAAAAAATTTCTTTCAACTAAGGTTTAAATTAAAAAAACGTTTCTGATTGAGTTATTCAGTTGCAAAAATGCTCTATAGATTTTTATTTATTTTTTTAAAGGAAAAAAAAAATTTAATAAATGCTGTTACACAAATCTATAATGAGGGTGGGGCGAAGAAGACAATTTTAGGACCATGATGCAAAAAGACTTTATATACATGAAAATCCAAGGTTCACTAATTTTCTGTAAATAAAATAAACAAAAGAATAGCATAAAATTTTAAGGGAAAAAATTTTAAAAAAATATTAAGTTGTTTGTTAAGAAGGAAATTTGAAGAAAAAAAGAAAGAGCAAATTTTTTTCAATTTTATCAACAAAATTCTCAGTTCCTGAAGCATTTATTTTTGTAAAGGCATCGAACTTCAGAAAGGGAAAAGACACCACAGTCAGACAATAATTTGCATTTTTTTCCCTTTTGTTTTTTTGTTTTTCATAGAAAGGGAAAACAACTTCAGTCACAAAAACTTTTTTGCTCAAAGTGAAGGGGGAAAAAAAGCAGATAAATCTGAATAGGGCTTAATGAGTTTTGCACATCATTTATTAACATATAAATTGTTAATGTATGAAGCAACAATTTTTTTTTTACTTTTCTTCATGATCGGAATTATAAAATTCATCTTTGAAATTTAAGTTAATTGTAGCCATTTTTCAATTTTTAGTCTTTTGTTTCTTAGGGTTCACACCAGCAATTGAAATTTAATAGTCAAATATGACTACCTGGGTATTCATTTAATGGTCCGAAAAATTGATATGGTAGACAAACTTGAGAAGAAGAAAAAAAAATCAAGCCTTACGTTTGCATGATTCATGTTATGGTACACATAAAAGTTATAATTACCATCTATTACACCCTAAAACTAATTAGGTTCATTAGCCCATAATGATTGAAGATTAGAATTTATTAAAATTAAGTTAAAAAAAGCTAAAATAATATTAATAAATAAATTTAACATACAGATTCAAATGCTGAGACCAAATAAATAAATAAATACGGAAAACAGAGAAAGTAAAAACTAATAAAATATTAAATTAAAAATTCTTAATAAAGTAAATTTCAAAAGAGAAAAAAAATTATGTTTTATTGATGAGCAATTATATTGCAGTCCATGAAAAAATACCTGATATTATGGTGCCACATAAGAGAAATATGTATATACATTATAATTGTTATCCTCATATATATCAATAAGCGGCATAATAAAAGTCTGAAAATAACGGTTATTCCATTTGAAAAATCTTAAACTAAAACATATGCATAGAATAAAATTAGTAAAAAAAAAATTTTTTTTAAAAATTCGTGGATTTTAGTGCAAAGAAGACTATTTTTTGTTACTATTTTATAACTTCCAAACATATTTTAAGGTTTAACATTTATACTGTCCCCCATGCATATGATGTTGCAGAATGATTCAGTGCTGTATGGGTGCATTAAATAAAGTAACCATATTTAATAACAAACAAATTTAATAAACAAAATAAAACAATAGGATACGAAAAGGGGCTCGCCAATGAGCCATCCAGTTCAATCCATTGTCTGCCGCATAAGTGATTACAGAATTATTGTGAGTGATTAAAACGCCCATTTCTGGTCAGGCAGAAATTCGTAACATATGATTTTAGTGACATTCATGGAACATTTAGGGACAATTGTCGCAATATGGTCATACTAGCATGAACCCAAATTATACTTGATTCTCAACTTGAACGTTATTTTTAGACTCAAGTTGGCTTGTTGCTACCTGACGCTCTAGTGGTTTTTGAAAAATTTGAAGGATCAGCTGTCAATTTGGTTGGAAAGGCGAAAGGGTAATCCATGCTTGTCACTATTTTCTAATTTAAAATAAATGTAATATTTAACAACTTTTCTTTCATTTTATTATTGGTTTAGAGTATACTGCTGAGATTCTATTATTAATTGTAGATTGTTAATTGTGTAATATGCAATTAGTAAAGTTATACTGTAACTTTTTATGAGAAAATAGTTGATTTACCAGTGCTTTTTAACTGCTGAATCATTAAATAAATTTATTCTGTGTTGTTGTTTCATCTCATAAAAGGCTCAGAGAGAAAATTTGCTCTTTTGCCATTGAGCGACAAAATTTGTCAAACAAGTTAAAGATTAAATTAGTTTTTGCAGTTATAAAAGATTAGATTAAAATAAATAAGAAAAATTAATTTGATGTAAGTAATATTTTTGAAACACATCTAATGGAATTATACATAAATAACAATGCTTATCAGTTTTATTGGAATCTAAATGTTTGGTGTTTTTATTTATTAATGTCTTTTTTTCTTTCAAATATACAATACTTTGAAGTTGGCAAAGATAATAATTAATGTTTTTGTGAAAATTATAAATATTTTTTTTTTAAATTTTCTTTGCATAGTAATTTTTGTTAACTGATATTTCATATAGATTATATATTTTTATGGTGAAGATGCAGAAATGAAAGAAAAAAAAAATCTGTAGACATCTGCGAAATTTTCTTTCTTTCTTTTTATAAAAGAATTAATTATAGTAATTGATGTGCATAATAAATTTATATATATATAACAGCATTGAATTGTTTCACTGCTTAATATTTCTGGTTATGGTTAAATAGGAAAACTGCTAGACAATCAATCATCAATCCTGACTGGGATTTTCAGAAAATGGGAATAGGCGGTCTGGATAAGCAATTTAATGCCATATTTAGAAGAGCATTTGCATCAAGAGTTTTCCCTCCAGAATTCGTGCAACAACTTGGTATGATTTTATTTTCTAAACCAAGATATAAGTCAAAAAATAATAATAACTATGATTTCTGTTTGTTACACTTTTTTACATATTTTTGAATTCACTTTATTCTTAAAATACATTCATATCGATAAAAAAGTATTCATGTAGTTAGAAAAGGTATTTGAATATATATATAACATTAAGAACAATGTTTAAACTAATAGTCTGTTAAAATAAAGTAGAGCAATGTGGCATAAGAGCATAAATAATGCAATTATTCCATTCAATTGGAAATCTCTTTTTCTTCTAACTTATGATTGGTTATATTTGTGTTTCTCATTTTCTTACCACCCACTTAATGATGACTATGTTCCATTCTTGATTCCTCATCTATTTGCCAATTTTCTCCTTGTTTTAATTTCGATTGTAATTATGAAATTTCTGTTATCTGTTATACCATTATTTTTCCTTGTGTCTTGGTACTTATTGTGATATTTGCTATAATATTAATGCTGATCTAAAGGCTGCGATTTCTTTTTTTAAAAAATCTAATTTAGTTGAGATTAAAAGTTTATATCTACAGAGAAATAAATAGACTAATAAATAAAAGTAGCCAGACTAAATATAGATATTGAATCAGGGGTGATTGTGCTCCCGAAAAATCCGGATTTCCTGATTTTTTGCTAACCGCGATCCGAAAGTTTCTGGAAATTCAAAGTCCAGAAGTTTCAAGAAATCATCGATCACATTTATATATAAAAATTCTTGTATACTTTATTTAAAAATATTAGAACTAGAATTTATGCTTGATGCATCTCTTTCATTTGTAAATATTTTTTCTGATAGAATATTAAATGTGATTAGAGATAAAAGTAGACTTACACATAATTATTCATTTAAATTATGCTGCATATAATTCATTTAGAATACTATCACGAAAATTTCAATGATTTAAATTTATAAAAATATAAATTTTTTAAATGATTTTACTCAAGAAATTTTCTGGATTTTTGATTTGGTCTTAACATGAAACTTTTAAAATAATAACTTTCTATTAACTGTGCAGGTTAAATAGTTTGCTGCTTTTATATACTTATTTCAATTAGATCTATTTAGTTTTATGTTTATTCAAGTAAAAGAACTATTGAAGCTTATTAAAGATGTAGTTTGCGTACTTTAATAATGAAAACTTGTTCTGCCAATAGTAATTAAGAATAAATTATTTTTTTGACATCTCTTAATCTAAATAAATTTGACAATTTGGGTATTAGTCTCTACAAATTCATGAAATACTTGAACTGAATAAAAGCAATTGTGATTTGATGAATTCAGGGAAAGAATTATTAGTTTGTCATAATTATATAATAATTTTAGTATTATAAATATTAAGTGTTTGCTTTATTATATTGTTCTAACAAAAATATTAAGTAGTATTAGTATATTTTATTAGAGCTTTGATTAGTTTTTTAAAAAAAATCTAATTAAGCAAAAACTTGTTTTTCATTTATTTATTTTTTAAATAGTGATTTTTGCCAAACCTGATAACTGTTAATTACATTATTTATGCTATTATATAATGTAGTACTGTGGCTCCCAGTATTCTTTGAATAAAATGTTCAGTTAAACAAAACAACTATATCTTTTAACAATCTAAATGCTCAGCTTATGATTTTATCAATTCTTGATTTTTATTTATTTATTTATTTATTTATTTTTTTTTTTGCTCATTTTGGGATTGTTACTGGAAGCTAATTGTAAAAATGAATTAATTTTTATCTTAATAAATAAGATTTATACCCAGGCAGAAATATTCATTTCAATGTATTTCTTCAATAGTATTTTTTTAAAAAAACTATTCCGGATGTATTGGAGCTTTGATTTTACATATATGGTTTTTTAGTTTAGTTCAATATATATATGTATATAACGTCGTTGCGAGTGGAAGGAATAAAATAGGTCTTAGGCAGGGAAGGAGGGTACAAAATTTATTTATTAATTATTAGACAGAGCAGTCATGAAAGTGTACACGAAAAGTTGCGCTCCTCGGTTATATGTTAGGGAAGATCTTGCAAAGTAAATCCGTAAAATTTTTCAATTTAGGAAAAGAGGGAAATCTTAGTAATTGCTATTGGTTTATGAAATAGGTCGAGTGATTCCCACATAGAGCAAAGAGAAAAATATCCTGCCTTTAATTAAATGCATGCTTGAGCCAAAAATAGATTTAGGGACAGAATGTGGCTTTTAAAAGTGTGAGAAAGTATTTCGATTAGAATAATTAATTAGGATGACATAAAAAGATTAATAGAAGCTTTTTATGTTACACACACCCATATATATATATATAAATCTCTTTCTCTCCAAATCCCCAAAATCACTTAAATCTGATTTAATGTTTTAGTAAATGCCGTTCAGCAAACTGAACGCTTTGCTTTTAATTTATCCATGATACAAGAAATCAAAACTAGAATAATTATAGTATAAATATATCATAGTAGATGATCAATAAAATTATTCTGGCCCACTCGTCAACTGTTAAAAAAAAAAAGGAACTAATTGAAAAACAAAAGTATCAATAAACCGTTGAAACGGATTTGTCCCAGATTTATATTTTAAAAAAATTGGTATTCTGTACTTAAAGACAATAGAAAATAGGTAAGAAAATGATTTTCTTACCTGCAGTCTGCGATATGCCATCAATGTTACTAAACCATCATTTCTCATGGAAAAAAAAAAAAAAAACCTTCTTTATTG